CAGGAGAGTATATAATCCTGATGTAAATGTATAGAATATATGATGTGCTCTGTCCCAGAGAGAGAGGGGGGGACAGGAGAGTATATAATCCTGATGTCAATGTATACAGTATATGATGTGCTCTGTCCCAGAGAGAGAGAGGGGGACAGGAGAGTATATAATCCTGATGTAAATGTATAGAATATATGATGTGCTCTGTCCCAGAGAGAGAGGGGGGGACAGGAGAGTATATAATCCTGATGTCAATGTATAGAATATATGATGTGCTCTGTCCCAGAGAGAGAGGAGGGGACAGGAGAGTATATAATCCTGATGTCAATGTATACAGTATATGATGTGCTCTGTCCCAGAGGGAGGGCGACCCTATCTTGGAGAGTGAGTGTTAAGACAGGATAGTGATTACTGTCTGCGCGCCTGTTCTCTCAGTCCCGCCTGTCTCTCCATGGAAGCAGGGAGGTTGTGGTGATCCATGTGGTGCAGTTCGGTTCGGGTGGTTTACCACGAGCAGTGACTATTGTACGTATGTCTCCTCCCTTCAGGACCACCACCCGCCTTGTGTTCGCCATCGGTTGATTGAGTTGCCATCAGCCTCAGACATTGGATGATGGAATCAGCTGTTGAAGGTGGATTGAACGTAACCCTCAGCCTGCGGCTCTTGATGCACGGCAAGGTGTGGTGGATTGAAATCCTGTCTCGTCTGTCTGTGTGTGTGTGTGTGTGTGTGTGTGTGTGAGAGAGAGAGAGAGGGGTTTGAACTTGCTGTCTGTGAGGGCAAGGTTGGGGGGGCTGGAAAGTAGTCGTCTGAGTGCACTAACACTGAGGCCAGTTGTTGGTTGGCTAGCCGAGCCCGCGCCTTCTGTGGTTTGCAGATGTTTTCGTCGCCGTACGAGGCAACGCCATCAGTGGCTTCGGGTGTTCTGCTCCATTACGAATTTTATGTGAACCCTCAGGAAGGGGTGGGTCTGGTCACTTCTGGTTCTGTTTTGTTTGAGCAGCGGTCTGTACACAGGGGATCTGTTTCTGTGTGTTTTGTTAATGGAGTCCCACGTTGAGAGCCAGAAGTTCCCTCGCGCGTCTGGTGTTCGTTTTGTCCCCAGTCTGGTCGCGTCGTCCCCAGCTGAACTGATGGCCCTCATTGTCTGTGTGTATCGAGACAAGTGAATATCGGTCGTGTCTTTTCGCTGCCAGCTGGTATCCTGGTCGTCAGTTTCCTCCCCATTTGTCCAATGTAATGTTTATTGCATTTGCTGTAATGTTATATATAGAACATAGAACAGTACAGCACAGTACAGGCCCTTCAGCCCACGATGTTATGCCGACACATTATCCTACTATGATCAAACTACCCTGCATACCCTACGTTTTACTAACCTCCATGTGCCTACCCAAGAGTCGTTTAAAAGTCTCTAAAGTATCTGACAGTGCACCACTCTCTGTGTGAAGAACCTATCTCTGACATCTCCCCTATATCTTCCTCCAGTCACCTTAAAATTATGCCCCCTCGTAATAGTCATTT